ACTTATTTGTGTGCTCAATAATTAATCGCTTAACCAAACTTGGTTTCAATAGCTGCGACACCGGAGGAAAGTAATTTATACCTTCCTATCATAAGTTTTCCAGTTATATCAGCACCTAACAGAATTTCAAGTTTGTGGTTCTGTCAAGAAGCTTGTGGTCCTGTTAACGAGATATTGAAAACTTTAAGTTCGAGTCTTGACCTATAGGTGGCATGGTTTCATAAATAACAAGCTAAGAACGCATAAGGAATAGCTATAAGTTCTGCATAAATTAGTCGAATAGATAGTATAAAATATCGTGCATACAGGGATCCATACTGGCACCTCGAACATTAAATGACGCAGCTTCTCCTTTTTGAGCGATTTATATCTCATTTGTTCAGCTCTATTTTTTTTAGTATGTATTATCTCTAAGAACCGAATCAATTATTGCACGAACTTTTTGCGTAACTTCGGAATTCTTTACAGTAACAACCAGGGTTTGCAACAAAATGGTAGAGAAGTTAGTCAGTGCTTCAAACTAAACTACAGATTTTCTGTTTAATCTCTTTTTTCCCCTCCAACTGAAATTTCGCTTCCTAGAAATCTTCTGCACAGAAGTGTGTTGTCACAAAGAAGACAAAATTCTTTGCTTTCGCATTTCTTAACAAAATAAGGTATTTTCCCCCTCCTTCCAGCATGCTTTCGTGGTATAAAGGTAGCACACTCGGCGAGTATTTGAAAGATCCAGGTTCGAATCCCGGAGAGTGCATTGCACATTCTACTCGTTTCCAGCATAAAAAAAAAAAAAAAAAAAAAAAAAAAAAAAAAAAAAAAGTAATAACCCTACAGTGGCACAAGAACTATATGGCGGTAGATAAAAATTCTGAAACTGTGCTTTATTGCATTTATTATGATATTTATCAATGCAAGATAAATAAAATGTTTGGAAAAATGGTCAAAATTTTGCAAATCTTCAAATAAAAATTTTGTATACAAACCACTTTTGAAATCACCAATATGTTAATGAGTTGCCAAACTTAGTGGCGCATATAAAATAAGTCATATCCCCAAAAGAGAAAAGTTGTTTTTGATGTAATATTTTATGAACTCTTCATTCGCAAAAAAGAAATTATTTCAAAATGTTTATGTTTCAATCCAGGCAGGGCCTCGTGCCTAAATTCGAGTATCCACCATTTATATTAGGAAGTAGCAAAGAATTCAAATGTTAACCATGTTAACCTGCCCACCAGCGGCCAAGCGGTAAAATGGCTGAACACTGGTATATCCGATCTAGGCTCGATTTCAGGCGAACGGGCTAGGTGCTGCGTTCTTGTGTTTTTTCCCATGTGTAACGTGCATATGAGCCAATTTCCTTAAATTTCCTCCACAAAGGCATCCCTTCCCTAAGGCAGATGCCCCTCGAGTGCTTTGCCATAATATATCAAACCAAACCATTAAATGTTATTAACCCATCAAATAAATATTTGGTTGATCTTTACAATATGGTAACTGGTAGTTTGGCGACATTTTGGAGGCGATAAAGGTTACTACCTGGGACTTTGGTAATAATGTGAGCAGTACTCAGTTCCGATTACGCATTATTTTGTGTGAGGGAAATGAGAGATCATGTGATATGTCATGTGATATTAATGGACGAATTACGGTTCTTTAATCGGAAAAGGGGGGAAATTGGGAAAAAATCTGGAAATTTTGTATTTAGTTTATTCTGTGTTGTGTGAAACAGTGTTCGTGAATTTTTGGGATCCCATGGAAGAAAGAAAGTTTATCGGACACGTAATCAAGATTCTGAAGAAGATTAGGTAAGTAGTATTTTTAATTATTTGAGGATATTATTTTTATGCATTGTTCTAAATGTAAGGTGGAAGTAAAGGAATTTGGTATTATTGGGAAAATTGTTATTAGCAATGATTTAGTTTAAAGTAATTAGCATTGTAAGGTAATTTTTATTAATTTAATGTATGTGCTCATTTATATTTTAAGTAGTGTTTTTGAGTTTAATTATATTTTAATTAAATGATAGTTATTTTGTGAATTTTATGTTTGTAGGAATTTGGTATACGTTTAAGTTGAAGTAAACGTGCATGGAAATATTTAAATATTTGATAGTAAGTATTTGTAATGCTTGCGGTATGAATTCTTGGTGACGTCTATAATGTAATAGATGATTTAGAGGTAAAAGTTTTTGTATATTTTATTTATTTTATATGTGGAAATGTTCATATTTGGAAAGGGTAAATACTTTTTCGCGATCAGGTAATTTCATATATGTTCTTTTTACCGGGTTTAAAGATTGAGAAATTGTCATGTATTTTCGAGAAATTTTTCTAATTTATGAGAAAAAGCAGTGTACATGGATATAGTGAAGAGTGTGCGCAATGCCATTTGTGTGCAATTCTGGGATGTTTTTTTTTAAGTAAAAATAAGTCGGCGCGTGTACATGGTTTATGTGTATGTGTTATTTTGAAAAACGCGTAAGGAGTGGTATTGTGCACTTTTCCCCAATTTTGCAGTGAATATTTGTCATGATTAAGCAGTTTTGTTAGATAAAATTTCTAGCATAAGTGTAATTTCGGCTAGTAGATTGTTGGAAGAAGTGTTCAGTAGATAAAAAGAAAAGAAACATGTCTTTACTTTGTGAAGACAAAATGGCGGCGGGGAAAAAAAAATAGAGGGTTGCTGTAGGAGAGTTGGTCGCCAAATTTTCGCCAAAAAAACGCCAAGTTACCATAATGTAAAGATCAACCAAATATTTATTAATGCGTCAGCAAAAAATGCTGGAAAATATTAATTCATGTTCAAAATGGCAATTATAAAAAAAGAGACAGAAATGTCAGATTAAGATTGTTAAGATCAAGATCGTGTCAGATAAGATTGTTTAATAAAATTCAGACCCTTTCACCGGTTTTGAGCAAAATTAAAGATTTTTAACCACTTGCGCTAAAAAGACGTGCCACGCACGTCGAGATGCTTTTGTCTCAAACCGCGAGCAACATGAACACCAGGTTGATAGGCATTTATCGCAAAAATGAAAATAACGTGGTGCACATGTCATCTAATAATGAGATTGTTTATTTCTTGAGTTACAGCTCTGGATTGCACGAGCAGACACAGAGCGGAGTAAATGAGACACTTTACCGCTTGTTATATTGTAGCACACGGCACCGCAACCATGAAGTTTAGTCGTAGCGAAGTTTAGTTAAGGACCAAACATAGTTTCTATAAACCTGAAGGATTTTTAAATTCTTTTAAGGATTGTATGAACCTTGATTTTACCAAGTACAAGCTCAACTTTTTCATAATCAACTATACAGAAAGCTCATGTAACCGGAATATCTTCGAATTAAAAAAAAAATCTTTTCCAACATAAAATTACGCAAACAAGAAATTTCTAGCTCCCTTATGGAGCTCAAATTGGTCTATGATTCGAAGAAAACAAAAACCGTTGACAAACAGTGCAACATAGCACCAATAATGAATAAAAGTAGCACAACTGCGTTACGTAAATCCGATTAATTCTCGATAAGTCGGCTTAATTTTTGTAAAAAACTACATAAGTTAACCACCATTTATCTGATTTTAATCGTGTTTTGAAAAAAAAGATTAAAATTTGGGACTTTTCTTCAGCTGAACAATATTCCAAATTTATGGGATCCTAGCATTAAGAAAAGCGCGACTTATGTGAAAAGTACAGGCTATGCAACATGGAAAAATTATGATAAGCGATTTAAACTTTTTATATTTTATGTTCATCACTTGGATATGGTGATTAAGTAAATAAAGAGCAACCTGTTCCTTCAAACTTCTACTATAATGACTGCCACAGGTTCGGCATTTTTTTTATCTAATATAATGTTTTATTTCGGTGTTTATGACTGGAATGCCTTTTCTTTTTCCGAAATCTCGCATAATTTAAATGTTTGATATTCAAGTTGATAAAAATGCTTTTTTAATTTTAGAATGGAAATTTCTTCATGCATTCATTTGGCTTTCGTACCATGAATTGCATTTTTTATACACTGTTATCGGAATTTTCGCATACCCAGAATTGGACATTTACGAGCTTTTACTGTATTACCAACAAAGTAAAATTAACAGCAATATCAATTTTTAAGAAATACTGTATTACATTCTAAATTAAGAACATCAATAAAAATTAATATATTTATACAATCCTATCAAATTTATAGAAAAAATATCAATTCTACTGCTTTGTTTTTCTATTTCAAGTAATTTCTAACATAAGTTTATAAAATAAAAACATATCCAGAGATCTTACTTAGATTTAATAAACAAAATCTAATTTCAACAAAATTTGTTCCCCTCTCCCTCCCCAAAAAATATTTACAATATTTGAAAATTTTTTATGATGATTTTAGAATCACGTTTGGAAAATGCTTGCATTTTATAAAATTCTTCCAAAGCCTAATAAAATTCAGGCCCTATGCAGTTTTTTCTGCAACTCAAAATTAGTGAAGATATTTAAGAAAGCTTTTTCTTACATGGCTGATTCTCAGACATTATTATAATAACCCATAATTTTATTTAGCATTTTTCTTTAACATTTAGAAATCAAGTTATTTTTGGAATTTCTTTCAGCCATTTCTATAAATTTTTTTGCAGAATAAATAATCTAGATAATTTTAGAATATGATAGTCCAAGATAAATAACTCTATTAAAAGTATATTTTTAACATAGTTAAAAAGATGTTTCTATATAAACTTGGATAAACCTACATACATCTTTAACATGTAGTAAACATTTGCAAATTTCACGATGGAACAAACAGAAAATTATACAGTACAAATACAACAAAATATTATATTGGAAGAACATTTCTTGTTCCTTACATTTAGACTATTGATTGATTTTGTCACCAAGAAACTAAAATAAAAAAGTTAACACTGTCTGAAATATTAATTCCATACCTATATATAAGTATGTTGATAAGATGATGTACTGGAAATAGGGCAAAAAAAAATACAAGGACTACAATAAATGAAAGTAGCAATTTTTTTATTCAAAAGTTTGTATCACAGTTTAAGTATATTAGCACAACCACCAGGTGCACAAGAAAATAGCATCTAAGCAATACCCAAAAAGTCAGTGGTTTTAAAAGGTAAAAAAATAATCTTTTCAGTTAGATATTTATAATATTAAACATTCTGATAGGCAGGTATCAAATTATGCAGTGTGAAATGTCCATTTCCAGCTGTTTTCTATTTGAACTTGTTTTAAAAATGAGAAAAATGTGTAACTTTGAAACACCAACTCAAAACTGGCAATGTGTGTAATTAGTAATCAGGAATTACTTTTTTTGCATTTTCATTTTGCCAAGTTTATTCTGTTTTTCTAATGAAAGATGAATCAAGTTATATTTACATATTTTATTTATGATAAAAGATACATATTACTGGGAAAATAACCTGCAATATGAAGGTAACATTTCAGAACAACATACTGGAGAGAGATGGTTTTCTAAACTAATTTTGAATGCTGTCAGAAGAATAAAAAATCATTTTCAAGTGCCGATTATTTGAGAATACAGATGAAAGAAAATTCTTAGAAAGTTATTTAATTGAACAAAAAACATATGAATCAGCACCAGATCCATTTTCAGCCATATAAATAAAGCGACTTTTTCACAGTGCCAAACAAAACAAAAATTATTTTATTTTAATCTTCTGATCAAATGAATGCTGATCAGTCAATAAAATGCAAAAACCACACTATAAAGAATATTAAGTGTTTAGCAATTGCATTTAAATAAAATACAGGGTGGCCAGAAAGACCCTTTACACATGCAATTATTTCCTTGCAACTTTAATAACACTTACAATTACATGTTCATAATGTCTGTATATGCACCACCATTATCCCTGCACAGCTTGATATGCCTAAATGACCTCCTACTCATCCACTTTAGCAGCTATGGTGTCACAAACTGGAAGGCTTTAGGCACATTTCCCCACACAGCATCACTGTCCACGTACTGCTTCTTCCTGACATGTGATTTGATGTTCCCCCACACTTTTAATGTTTTTTAGATTACTTTTCTTGTAACAAATCCTGAAACCTTGAATCTGGAATGTCAACTGGCAATACCTTAAGTAGTATCTAATCTCTAAATTAAAACTTGTAAATGCCTATTGGTTCATTACTCAAATTAAATATCATAAATATTATTTTCTGTTCTTGTGGACATTTCACACTGCTCAACCAAATAATAATGGGTTTATAGATTTCATTGTGTCTAGGCACATGAATGCTTTGATGAAGTTATTATCAAACAACAATTATTATTTGTTGGTAATTTTTAGAAATATTTCAAGGTACTCCAAATCTGATTATTTTAACATCAATGATTTCATATTTAATCTTCTAAAGATATTATATATATTTCGGAAAAAACTTCTAACAATTTAACAGTCTATTTAAACACGTAAAGATTATTTAACACATTTAATTCCTAACAGTTTTTTAATTATTTAGTCAAACCTATCTCCCTTAAAGCATGTTAGATATTCATATTTATGCAATAAATGTGAATGAAGAATCTAAATATCGAGACAATTACAATAAATTAATTTTTTTAAGATGTGCTCTTTCTTAACAATTAAGACATTTAAGTTTAACAAATATGTTTTGATTGGATATTCAATAACATCTGAAAAGCACATTTTATTATTAAAAAACTTTAAAAAAAGTTTCCTCACATTAAGAAAAGTTTCCTTTTCTTCTTTCTTTTCAATTGTGCAAGCATAATTTTGATGCAGTCTAATAAAATTTTAATTATCTCCACTACTTATTGTGCACTAGATGAACTGCAAGGAATGCAGGTGATGAAATCACAGTCGCATCCTCATCCATAAAAACACATCTAGATTAATTTTTTATTACTTCTTTCAAAATATAAATATGTTACAATTATATTACATTTTAAAGAGTTCTGTTATTTGTATAAAAAACCAAACATTTTTTATGAACATATATTTCCAAAACAAAATATCTGTAATGCAGGCAAATTTGCTATGCCAAGTAAGCATAGAAATTTCATATGTGAATATTCATGTGGATCCGAATTCAGCCATCCATTTTTCATATTTTTCAAGATCCTCTTTGCTAACTGATTTATTAATTTTTTTAATCGCTTCCCGAAAATCATCTGGACTTACAGGTAGTTCTAACTCTTCCTTTGGTAAGTTTCGAATTTCTTCAGGAGTCAACCCAGCAATTTTTCTTCGCATCGCCATCATCGAAGCATCCCTAGAAATATATATTAAGAATTATGGCACAAAGAATAACGTTAGGTTCCTAACATATATATACAATAAAAATGCAACAACCAGACGCTGATGTTTCAAAGTAAAAAGCGAAATTTGAAAACAGAAAACAATATATTAAAAAAAAAACAACAAAATAAATAAATGAATTTAAAAAAATAAAAGCATTACATACTGGGCTATCCAAAAACTTTGTTGAAATCTGTATAGAGATAGTTCCAAAGTTGGAAAACTGTAATGCGAATGTTTTTCTTAGTTGAGAATAGTTCATTTTTTCTGCTAAATTGATAGCTTATTTTACTCTTTTCTTTTTCAGAAAATTATTGATAAAAGGGTGTACATTCAATCATTAAGTCCTTCATGCCATTGGTGCAATGGGTGAAGACTGTCTTAGTTACAGCACAGCTGCCAAGTGAGTGAGTATGTTCAAATGTGGGGAAACTTTGATCCAATATGTACCTTAGTCAGGCCGACCAATTATCTCCACCACGTACAAAATCATGGCTGCTGTTGAGCACATCCTTGCTAAAAATCTATCTTTCTTTCTTCTTTTTTTCCCCCCAATTTGTAGCAGCCACACTAAATATCACACAATAATAGAGCACATTAGACCACAACAGCCAATAACATTTTAAGAACTTTTAGTATGAGAAATATTCTGTATCAGCTGTATTCTGAAAACTTAAGCATCAGTTTAACATAATGAAGAGGAATGTTGTGAGCTCTTGGCCCTCTGTAAAGTAGTGCACATGAATTTTACCAGTTTGGTAGCAATGGCTCATTGCCCAAGGTCAAGGCAAGACTTAGAAAAAACCTGGCATGAAAACACTCAATCAAACCAAACAGCAGAAGTCTACCAGCAATCAGTTTCCTGGACAAGGAGGGGATGAACATAAATTTATCATGTCACACGAAAGACGACTAGTTATCATTTTTAGTCATCTAAAGGACAGACTAGAAATATTGGCTATACCAATCCTTAAAGGACAAACGAAGCAGCAAACTCACATGGCAGATTCACGAATTTTCATTTTACTAAAATATATAAATTTTTTGCTGTTTCGAAAGATCACAAAATTTTCTTTGTTGCATTATTCCCATCTAGCTTACTCTAGCTTTTAACGAGTTCATGGTTTGGTCTGAGATTACTCTTCACTTATTCATTTAGTGTAAAGCTCTACTCTGAGTCCTATATATTTAATACTTCAATTTTTTTCTGAAAGTTAACTTATAACACTAATTAAATAAGTAATTGATTGTAACGAATTCTAATTTTTATTTCATGAATTAAGCAGTCGGTTCTTGCCAACAGATATATAATTGTAAAAGACTTTTCCAGTAAAAATATTGCACTGGAAGAAATATTTTAAATATGCAGAACAACAAATTACAATAGCTATAATGATTACAGTTCTGAAGCCTCAACACAACACATTTTCTGCAAAACGGGATGCAAACTCATCCAATGCACACAAATTAGTTTTACAAACTCATCCAAACACAGGAAACATAATTACATATAAATTATTATGTAATCAGTTGTCCAAATTAAACAATAGCTGAGTAGAAAAAGCATTTAAAACACTTTTGTTGCCAATTACGTAGGTTATGTTCATAGTTATTGCCATGACATGAAAGTAGACTACCCATATGCTAACTTATTTATAAGATATAAGATTTAAAAAAGGTAATAACAGATTATTATGAGGATTGCATTGATTGCTAAGCTTTTAATAAGACAATACAGTCAAAAGTCGTTAATTCGGACACCCATAATCCAGACCTCAAAGCTAAAAACTTTCTGCGCATGCACCGCGTTAGCACATGCGCACAGGCGTTTTATGCGTGCGCGTAAGACCTTGACTACTGCTCATATGCGTTGTGCGCAAGTGCAGAATACGTTTTCGCTGCGCATTTAATGTATAACGGACGGTGTAGGCTAAATTATCTAATTATCTATTTCACTTACTGTTAAATGATGCGTTGTTTCTTAATCTTCGAATTGGATCCCGCTTATTATTTTTTGCAGACTGTAAGAGCAATTTTATAAAAGTAAACTTGAACTTTCGATTATGTCAATAGAATTTCCGATGCTGGAACTTCCAAGGATCTACAAAACGAAAGTATGTTTCGATGTCCTCAAACAAAAAGTGGAAATTGCTGCAAAAATGGATAAATACATGAAGAATGTGATAGAGAGGTTAGTGAAAAACGAAAAAATTTCGATGACAAGTTAGTCGTATTCTCGGCTACAGCAATTAACGGGACTTGAACAGCGGAACTTTGTAACTGAACAAGAAATTATGTCTTTTTATAGAATTAAAGGGAAAGTATTATCACATAAAACGAAGCAACTTAAACAACTTACATTGAAAGAAATGTTTAATAAAGTAAACAAATAAATATTAAGCCTTTTTTTTGTAAATTTTGATACCCTTTAGATCATAAATGTTCTTTATTTTATAAATTACTGTTTCATATTTTAATTTTAGAATTTCTGCATGCCATCTTACGAGATTTAAACTGATGATCTATAATCCGGAAAAATCGATAATCCGGAATCGCCGAAGTCCCGACGAGTCCGGATTAATGACTTTTGACTGTATAAACATATATGTATATATAACAAATTAATTTAGTACAAGAAAATTACAATGATATTATTACAAGCAATTTTTTTTATGCATTAACCATTTACAGTATATAGTTACATAAGCATAACAATATGTTATGTATATTGTCATAGAAAACACTACAGTGCAACGTTAATTACTGTCCTGTAACCTGAAAAATGCATTCACGGGCCATTTTTTGGAGAAAAATTCTTATATATTGCACTCCTGCAGACAGGAACTAAAATGCTTGGTAACTTCCCAACCAACTGTACTCATAGGCTTCTGTAACACTAGCAGTCAATTTGGATGTTGCTGCAAATGCCGTACAACATCCAATGGTGGGTAGGCAGAATGATATTGTCCTCCTCACTTTCGCCTGGCAATATTTCTCGCATCTCAGACATAACTGCATGTACAGCAGATTCATCGGAGCACCCATGGCAACATCATCATATGCATTAACAAACTCCTCAAACTAACACCATGATTTGCATCCTTTTGTAGACTAATCCATTCATCAGGTGAAGTGGTATTGTTGTCAATATCTAAGTCATGAACAGGATTAGTCTCCTGACATGACATCACAATATATACAAAATTGCTAAAACAGTTCTGTATATACTGTGATGTCAATCCAAGTTTTCTTTTGTTGAGAAAATAAAGTACTATTTACATTTTTAAAACAATGGTTTCTTGAACTTATCGATCATCAAGGATGGTGTTTATCATTGCCATCTGCATAACACTGAACAATAGTTAAATGTTGTTTATTGCACACTCCACAGTAATTATCACTATTTATTCTGAGGGAAGTAGTCGGGACTTCGGCGATTCCGGATTATCGATTTTTCCGGATTATAGATCATCAGTTTAAATCTCGTAAGATGCCATGCAGAAAATTCTAAAATTAAAAATATGAAACCGTAATTTATGAAATAAAGAACAATTATGATCAAAAGGGTATCAAAATTTACAAAAAAAAAAAGCTTAATATTTATTTGTTTGTTTACTTTATTAAACATTTCTTTCAATGTAAATTGTTTAAGTTGCTTCGTTTTATATGATAATACTTTCTCTTTAATTCTATAAAAAGACATAATTTCTTGTTCAGTTACTAAGTTCCGCTGTTCAAGTCCCGTTAATTGCTGTGCCGAGAATACCGACTAACATGTCAATCGAAATTTTTTCGTTTTCACTAACCTCTCTGTCACATTCTTCATGTCTTTATCCATTTTTTGCAGCAATTCCACTTTTTGTTTGTTGGACATCGAAACATACTTTCGTTTTGTAGATCCTTTGGAAGTTCCAGCATCGGAAATTCTATTTGACATAATCGAAAGTTCAAGTTTACTTTTGTAAAATTGCTCTTACAGTCTGGAAAAAATAATAAGCGGGATCCAATTCGAAGATTAAGAAACAATGCAATCATTAACATTAACTGAAATAGATAATTAGATAATTTTAGCTTACACCGTCTGTTATGCATTAAACGCGCAGGCGCACACGCATATGAGCAGTAGTTGTTGGCAGTGGTGATAAAAGCAAAATATGTTTTTGCTTCCCTTAAATAAAGCTAAGACTAAACTAAATAAAATTCTTGCTTTATTCCATAAATAAAATAAAAGAGCTAACACTGTAGCCTTTACATTTAAAATCATTTAGTGAAAGCAAACTAGCATAAAGCTAACTGATAATCACACAAGAGAACAAGAAACACAAGAACCATTTGCCGATACCGGCGTACATATATATATACTCGGCCAACCTGCTGATCTTGACGTCATCGGCCAATCAGCGGCAACCACGTTAGCTTACCGCCGATCGACCTCCGATCAAAATTTGCATGCGGAAAACTAAAGCCAACAGTAGTCAAGGTCTTACGCGCACGCGCAAAATGCCTGTGCGCATGTGCCAACGCGGCGCATGCGCAGAAAATTTTTAGCTTTGAGGTCCGGATTATGGGTGTCCGAATTAACGACTTTTGACTGTATGTACTAGTTTTTTTTTTTTTTTAATTAAGCTAACAAATTTTAAAAAATCTTTTTTTTTTTTTTAATTGCATCTCATCAGCTACTTTCAAATCATACATTTGGCCTGCATGCAATCCGAGTTTGACATATAGTATATATAGATGGATTATAGTTTGATGTTTTGTATGTCAATAGGTTTGGAAACTTTTCCTGCCTTTTATCTCTCTATGCTCCTGAAGATAAGTACATAATGACTTTCAATAGGAGACAAAGGAAGTTCAAATTATTACTTTTAAAAAATAAATTAATGTGAAAAAGTGACTGGCAATCCAATCTAGGCCATAACTCAGTCCAGCTTTTGACATCAACTGCAATGACTCCAAGACAAATAAGTAGTATTAATGGACTACTGAGCACTGCAGTATTCCTAGAAACAAGCATATTTTCTTGCACACAGAACATGAAACTGCTACATTAACATACTCCAAAAATCCCTGTATGATTTAGTTAAATGGTATATCACAGTGTTCCTTAAACTGTGGTCCTCAAAACCAGGCTTCATAGTCATTCTAAATTTGTAAAACTGTTCTATTATTTGTAAACAAAACTAGCATAATTTTACATCATTTCTTATTGATGGAACAGGAAACTAACAGTGAAGATGTGCTTATTTGAGAACCATAAAAATGAACTTAACGAGAAAGAGCTGCAAGCAATCGTAAAAGAAATACATGATGAGAAGAAGATGGAAGGGAAAAAAAAAAAAAAAATTATCATACTTACCTGAACTGCAAAATTTGTGCAAAACGGAATATGGCACAAAGTTCCGCATAATGTTATCACCCCGATAAAGAAGCAGCAAGCTACAGCAGAGGTATTTTCAATGACAATGTCACATCTTGCTTTAAAAACATCTTAAAATGTACATACACATTTAGTGTCTAAATGAAAGTGGACACATTTTAAGTGAAATAAAGACCCAGTGAGAGCCAAGCAAAGTCTAGAAATGCTTAGATACAAAGAAGCAAAGAAATGATGAAAGAAAATACCCTCCCTAAAGAGAGTTATCTGATGCTTTTATGGAAGGAAATTTTGCATCCAAACTATAACATCATATTCGTCATTTTCCACATAAGGTGTTCACTCACCTTCCTACAGATATAATAAAATAAAGTGTTTGTATATTTCATCTGTTTAATATTGTGTTTATTTTATCATTATTATTACTTTATAAATTTACTGATTTCTACGGGTTTTAGATTATGAAATAGTACACCGAGTATTGTTGTAAAGTGTAAATGGGTAATTATTTGTAGGGTAGGAACAAATTAATCTATTTTATATTAATTGCTATGGAAAAAACTTTTCGGTTGATGACTTCATGAATGAATTATATTCTTCAACCAAAGCTTCATTCTATTGGGTTACAGGATTATCCCATTCAATGTAATATTTTAACTTTTCTAGCACCTTTTTTTTACACACAGATAAAATTACAGAACAATCATTTTAGATATGCAGATGAATACATACAAAGCAAATAACATTAGTTTCTTCAATGAGACTACTGTGATAGAAAAATACTAATAGCTTTTTAGACATATCAAAATTTTTCAGAAATTCAAAACAAAATATCTTCAGTTTGAATACATGTCTCAGAGAAATTTTTGGGTTTTACCTGCAAACATTAGTAATATCAGCACCAGAATATCCTTCTAAGCTATTTGCAACCTCTTCCAAGTCCAACTCTGGATCTACTTCGACTTCTCTAAGATTTATTTTTAAAAGTGCTTCTCTACCAGCAGCTGTAGAGAAAATAAAATGTTGTAGAATTAGCTGCAATATCTCACATGATACTAACCCATAAGAGATACAATACACAGAGAAATTTGAAAACTGAAAATAGAATTAAATATAAATATATATATGTATATTACATACTTTTAGACATAAATTATATAATTTGAAGATTTGCTTGCTAAATTTTACAAATTTTTTAATTTCATTTATAAAGATAATAAATTTGTGTTACAAATTTATACATACATTATTTGACATTTTTGTTTGATTTCAGTCACTAAAAATTACAATCAAGCATACCTGACATTTTAAAACTATTTCTTTCTGCACCAGGCATCTATCTTTCAGCTCTATGTAAATATTACTCAACTGGATTTTGTTTCAAAATTTTACTTCAGCAACAACATATCAAATCCAGAAACGTAATTGTTCTCCCAACTATTTAAAATAATATATTGTATTTAAAACTATCCTTTGTAGAAAATAAAGTGCAATCCCTCCCCCAAACCATGCAACTGATTTTCATGATAATCATTTGGTTCTAAATTCTAATGAGAAGCAACAGTTACCAACTGTTCTATATAAGCAGCTTTTCTGAAATGTTCTTACCTTATACCTAGATAATCTTCTCATTTTTTATATAGCCAGTAATGCATTTTATTTGTAAGCACACAATTAAACTTTCGGCTTTTTGATTTTACAAGAAGCATTTACACTTTCCTGATATATTAAGCAAGTTTTTAATAATCAAGATAGCAGTCTTAGCCGAGATTGATTTTTTTATAAACTTTTATTTAGTTCACTCATGGTGTTTCACTGTGAGTGCAATTTTATCATCAGTTTTTAATTTACTTCTTGATAGGCTATCAAGTTCAAATTTTGTACACACAAATTTGTAAATTTGCTTCGTGGCCCACATGAGGACAATGAATAATTGTCAGTTTGAGACTACTGAATCAGATCACTTTAATTAAACCAATGTATGAGGGCTATTCAGAAAGTAACTTATGTTTCGCATTACCAAAATGGGACAGTAGCATCCCCATTTGGGTGTCAAAGTGTCTACTGAATTCTTGCGCGTTTGGCTGTAATTGTGGGCGGTAGGTGTTGCCTCTGCTTTGTTCACACTTTGAATGTTCAAAATGAGTGCACTAATATGAAATCCCAACAGTTGTGAAGTGTGATCAGTGATTGGATTTTTGGTCACAAAAAAAGCGAGACCAGTTAAAATTGATTGGGAACTTTGTACGGTGAATGGAAACGGCATAATGAGTGAAGCCAGAGTGAGACAATGGTCCATCATGTTTACAAATAGCCGCACTAATGTTCACAAGGAAGCGCAAAGTGGTTGGCCGAGCTCTGTTAATGCTGAACTGGTAGAGAAAATCGATGAAGTGATTTGCGGAAATTGCCGTTTCACAATTTTGGAGCTCTCACTCGAGTTTCCTCAAATTTCACAAAATTTGCTGTTTAGTGTTGAGACACAAGATCTCGGCTATCCCAAGTTTTGTACCAGATGGGTACCGAAACTCTTGTCAGATGACCATAAAAAGCAGCGCATGGCACAGCTCTGACATTTCTCGAGGTGTACCATGAACTTGGTGAATTACTTCTTGATCATGTCCCAATAGCACACTACATTGCAAACTGGGTCCGAGAGGTTGTAAAATGGTCATGGTAACTTTTACGATGTCTTTACAATGTTGCAATGATGCAAAATATTTGCCGTGCATTTTGGCAATTTGATGACATCGCTGAAACGTCATGATATGACCGCTTTTAGACGTGGTCGTTTTAGCAATTTTCTCCTAATTCATCAGCATTATTTTTAGAATGAAAAGAGACTAAATCTACCTCTTCAAGAATCTGAAGTCCGCATAAGATTTACTTTGTAATGTTTCATTACTTCATTTCATCTAAATATATTAATCTAAGGTAGATTCATCTAATGAAATATAAATTTAATATAGATAAATTACTAATAAATGTTGGCATAAAAATTACAGAAACTGTATATTGCTCTTTAACAGGTGACATTCCATGTACATTATTTACCTTACTGGATGCTTAATAAACGAACATCTCCAGGTTTTGCGCTCTTTGGCTAGCTGCCAGATTCGAAGTTTATAGTATGCAGAAGTTCAAGTTTGAAGAATTTAACTGCGCAGTTACTTGAAAGCTAAACTTTCTAGCTAAGTGGCGAACAGCGGTAAACGGAACGGAAAGATTCCAGCAATTCTTTCAAGTAATTTGGTAAAGATGCAATCTGTAAGGCATTTAAAAGACTGACTTCATGTGTGAAATTGAATCAAGCAATGATTGATATAAATAATACTGCTTATATTAAAAGTAAATATCAATGTCACTGTCAATCAAAGAATGCACCATGAATCTTCTCAATGTTCTGTCCCTATCTACTTACTTCAACTGCCTTCAGAAAATCAATTTGCATTGCTGTGAGCTCCTGTTTGGAAGCCTCTGATCTGAGGAAAAATCATCGTGAGAATGTGGAATTTTTGCTTTTTTTTTTTTTTTTTTTTTTTTTTTTTTTTGTGAATATGTGCTCTACAAGAAAACACCAAAATTTTGGATACATCATTTTAAAAATATTGAATGCAACAAGTTACAATGGTAAGCATGAATATAGTGTTCGTGAAATTGTGTTCTGTTTTGGTGTTTTACGCGTTGTGAGTGATAACATTTTGGATACATCATTTAAAAAATATTGAATGCAATGAGTTGCAATGCTAATCATAAAATAGTGTTCGTGAAATTGTGTTCTGTTTTGGTGTTTTATGTGTTGCGGGTGATTAAAAAGTAATACGGTGGTTTGTGCCTCAGTTATAATGTCCTAAGTGCTATATCGTATATCATGCATATTAATGGATTATTGTGTTCATATTGAAAGGTTTGTTCTCAGAATTAATTCATATAAAAGCAAAAATAACATACAATGGTAAGGCAATTTCTGGTTTTGCTGCGATTACAATCAAGTGCAGAAGCAACAACAATTCAAGCTGTTATGGTATGTTCATTATTTTCAAAATGCAAATAAATTATTGGACTGGTACCAGTGCTTAATATGACTGCTGAAGATGAATTAGATATATGTAACAGCAAGAAGCAGTACATTTAAAATTAATAATAATGCACATTATATACTATGTTGTCTTTTGTATATAGTATGCAGAAAAGTTTAATGATTTTAAACAGTGTATGAAACGTATGATCGAAAAAATAGTGTTAAAGAAACATTAGCATTTCTATAAAATATTGTAATCTATAATTATGTGATATTTTTAATTGTGTAATATTAAAAAACACTAAATATTTTTTATTGATTGCAAATTGCAGTATTATTACTTTTTGGTATCTATTCTTCCAGACACTGTGTAATTCGCATTTTTTTAAATATTGCCACTATTGTATGTTTATTAGATTATCGCAATAAATGAATGTTGGAAATTAGGTTTTATTTATTGTCTTTGCTTACTTTTTATGTGCTTATGATAAAGAAATTCATAATAAATAGAAACAAAAAGTTTCATTGTGTGCTACTAAACATACTTAGCTTACTATCATATACTATATTATTTAAATTATTTCTGTACAGTAACAAAAGGTAAGTCATTCATTATAAAAAGTGCATGAATTAATCATTGTAATCTACCACTATTCTAAAATGTAGAAACTAAAACTAAGTAAATACATTAACATATGATTGAAAGAAATGATGTTAAGAAACATCAGTATTACTAGTAAATACTGCAATCCATAATTATTGCACTTTTCATTGCTTACTATTTAAAAAACACAAATAATTTTTTATTAATTGGAAATTTTAGTTCTGTTACCTTCTTTCTGATATTTATACTTTCAAACACTACTAGTTCATGCTTTTTCTTAAATAGTGCTGTCATATGTGTTGTTTGTTAGGTTATTATTTCATTTTAGATATGAATATGAGAAGTTTTTTTTTTTTTTTTTTTAGATTTAGGTATATTTTTGTATGAAATATTTTTGATCATATTTATTAACTGCTTTATACAGTCTTTCATTTGCATATCTTGGAGATCTAGAAGTTAATGGTTATATTTTTTGCTATGAAAGGCAAAAAAATTTATACTTGAGTTCAGGTAAAATACTGGTTAAGTTACCTTAAGAACCGCCTCCTGATTTATCATGACAGGGGCAATTTTCAGTGTCTCTGAGATTTAACAGAAATAAATGTGATAACACTGTTATAATCAAAAACACTCTTTTGTTACCCACATATATAGCTTTACTCTTATTTATATGTCTAATTGAGTATTATTTACTTAAAACCTACTATTAATGTTATATATTTATAATAACCACTTTCATAATTACTCTCACTTAAGGAAAGAAATGATGAAATCTTAAATAACCGTAACTTAGAATTTAAGTTATGAAATCTTAAATAATTGTAACTTAGAATAGTTATTTAAAAAAATATAATTTTAAGTTATTTTAGTTATTTAAAAATATAGTTTAAACTACTGAAAATAATTAAGCTATTATTAATTATGCATATTTAGTCTAAAGAGAAAAAAATTATTATCTTCTGGTTTTCAGGAAATGATAAAATATTTAAACTTTAGATGAATACAAAATTTTAAAAAAGAAGAAAAATATATTAATTATTAAGCTTATTTTTCTGCGTAAATCAATATGTAACACAAGGACATAATAACCACATTTTCACAACTGTTGCAAAAAGGTGGAATTTGGCGAACATTTAGGCGTCTTTAAGACGTCATGATACGATGCTTTCACAACCAAAATATCGCCTGACTCAAATAAAGATGCAATAACAACGTCTATGCGACAAAAACCTCATCTGCAAAGACATCTTTGCAACGGTTGCAAAACAGTGGATGTTCGCGGACATCTGGGTGTCTTAAAGACAATATATCGCAACGTTTTTTCAATGACATCCGCGACGAATGATGTTGCTATGCTACTTGGGCTCATAACAGAAGATGAGACTTGAGTAAAGTTTGTGACTTGTGAGACAAAACTATGGAGTATCTCCCAGAAAAACCAAGGAAATATTTGCAAAAATTTTCATCAAGAAAGGTCATAGGAACTATTTTCTGGGACAAGGAAGGTGGGCTTCTGGTGGATTATTTTGAACATACAGAAACAATAAACAGTGAGAGATACTGTGAAACATTAAAGAAATTAACAACAGCGATACAAAACAAGCATCGAGGAACAAGCATTGAGTTCCAAGGTTTTTTTTTCATTCATGACAATGCACGCTTCCACACAGCCATTCAAACTCGGCGGTCCTTGTAAGGTTTCGGGAGTTATTTGATCATCCACCGTACAGTCCGGACCTTGCTCCTAGCGATTTCCACTTGTTTCCCCACATGAAGACCTTGCTTGCAACACAGCGCTTTGATGATGATTAGGAAATGCATGCAGGCGTTCATGTATGGTTGAAGTCTCAGGCAAGAACATTCTATGACGATGGAATTAACAAGCTTGGGTACCATTATGATAAGTGTCTTATGGAGATTATGAAGAAAAATAGCTGAATAGTGTGCCTTTCAAATTTAAGTAATAAAAAATTACTTTTTTTTTTAATTCCAAAACAAGCTACTTTCTGAATAGCCTACATATAGAGAAAATTTTCCAATCATAACCCAGTTCGTTGTGAAGATAATGTAGAGCTTTGAAGTGCAACAAAATATTTTGCATATTCTGACATTTTAAAGGCACCTAGTCCCTTAAAATTAGTTAGAAATACTTACCATTTGGAAGTGGAATATAAATTCGCTTCTCCAACCTCCTTCGCAAAGCTTCATCTATGTCCCATGGAAAATTAGTTGCTGCTAACACCATTACGACTTTGCTAGGATCTTCTGTACTAGTAATACCTATGAAACAAGCATAATTTAAAAAGTTGCAGGATGCATTAAAGGGTTTATGAAAATGCCGACTGATGCTATTATCATATGGGACATTTTTTTAAAACTATTTCTTAAACTAGTGTAAGTTCATATTTCAAATTAAGAAATTAATTAAATTAGTACTACTGGGTACAAATCCTGTCCTATGTGTTGACTGCTCTTGATTGGATTAGTAGCCCAGGAACTTAAGTACAAAATTTCCTGTGTAGATGAAATGCTGTTAGGGGACATGTGTGTAAAATAGGCTTGATCGGAGGTATGTCTTCTTGTGTATGCAGAGTGTAAAAGAACAGTTTCTGACAATCTCTAGTGCTGACAGATCTATCAAAGAATCAATTCAAGCTCATGGATCAATGGTTCTTTGGTTCAGTGAGTGACAGAATAGGATCTCCTAAGTTATGTTTATTGTGTGCCCTGGTTTTCCATGAATTGAGAGCCATATTTCATTTTGTATAAAACACAAACAAAGGTGGGGGTAAAAATTAAAGAACAGTAACCTAAAGGTGTTTTCCATTCTCTAAAAGCCCAAACAGGATGAATTTACAAATTAGTAATTTTTCAGTTGAAAACTGCATAAATTCTAGAAAAAAGGTTGAGAAATACTCAAAATTTTCAGTTTAAGGTATTCAGAAAGTTTGTTATAAATTTCCCACATTCACATTTTATATTGTTCACACATCTAAAACAATACAAAATAATGCTGTTTTGAAAATTGCATGAGACTGGAAGTTCATTTGTTATAAGCTGAATAAGTTATAGTGGGAATTGATTGCAATGGTAATATAACACTAACATTTTTTTTAACTCTTCCTCAGTTTTCAAAAATAAAATCTTTTGGAAATCCACCACAGTTACTGTCATTATTCTCCAAATATCATCTACACTTTATTTTTAAGCCTGAAAGTAGTATTAGTCTCAAAATGTGATTTTGCTTTGTTTTACTTTAATGCATTGTTTTTCTTTTCATTTTAGTCTGTTACCATTCAGAAAAATGTTTGGTATTTAGTTCCAAATTTAATCTGTCTGTTGCTGACTAACAAACTAAGCTATTTAAAAATAACAGATGCAGTTCTTAAGAATAGTATTTTTTTTTAAACTTTTGAATCAGATTCTGTTAAAATAAATAAAAATGCATTTATAATATATCTTATTAAAAACATTAAATATTTTTACAGAATAGCATTACATAATTTTTCATTCTAATATGTTGTTTAATTTTTCATTTGAGTCTGTTACAATTCAGTAAAATATAAGATATCTTTCAAATTTAATCTGTCTGTTACTGAGAGACAGACTAGGTTATTTAAAAACAATGGTATCTGTTCTCAAGAAAATTATTTTTTTACTTTTTAATCTGATTGATTTAAATAAAAATGCATTTAATTCATCTAATTAAAAACATTTAAAATTTTTATGGAATAACATTACAGTGGAACCTCGAGATATGAGCACCTCTATATACGAGAAATTCGAGATACGAGGAAAGTATGAGCGAAACATTTGTATCTAAATATAAGCACTGACTCGAGTAACGAGCAATGAGCCAGGCTGTTGTAATGCGTGGCGCCATTTGCCTATCCGGTTCTACTAGGAGAATCTCCTCGTCGGATCACTCGGTGTTCTTCAATTTACCTGTTTGTGAGCTTGTGAATCAATTGTTTATTATATTTAACGTAAAAATAATTATTTCATGATGCCTCTCAAGACGATTGTTGCCTCAGATAGTGCTGCAAAGGAAAATAAGGAAGCCATGGCCGTTGAAATCAAGAAAGTAATCATAGACAAACATAAGCGTGGTATAAAAGTGAGAAAATTGGCGAAGACTTACAGCCTTTCGACATCGACGATCTGCACTATTCTGAAGATGAAAAAAAAAGAAAAAAAAGAAATTAAGAAACCTGATGTAGCCAAAGGAGTTACCGTTACTTCTAAGCACCGTCCAAAACTCTAGATGTTGAGAAGGTGTTGTTGGTGTGGATTAATGAGAAGCAGTTAAAAGGCTGGTGTCGGAAGCTATCATAAAGGTAAATTATGGTTATATTATTTACCAGCGTTATTTATTAGAAAAATTGATTTTTATGTTGACATTTTTAGGGGTACGGAACGCATTAACTGGATTTCCATTATTTTCAATGGGGAAATTTGTTTCTTTCTAGATATGAAAAATTCACTATACGAGCTCAATGCTGGAACAAATAAAACTCGTATCTTGGGGTTCCACTGAACATACTTTTCATACGTATAAAAGATTAGAGCATTCTCCTGTTAGTCTAAATGCCCATCTTCTAGCATCCTATAAAACGTTTTTCTATTCCACTTGGGTCATCATATTAAATTTTAGGAAAGCCCTTTTGAACAATCATTAAAAATCTGAACTCATTCAGATTTTTCTTTTTTTGATTTTGCTTAATTTACTATCATAACAAAAATATGATTTCACTATATTTATTTCCATGATTATCAATGTTATGTTTACTGGCATTCTTTTGGCAGAAAAAGTTTTATCAATGTCTCAATATCGTGATTTACAAAAATCACTGGCTTGGTGAGCAATATATCACCCAAAAACAGAAAATCTCAAAAGCAAGTAGTCAATATTTTTGGTACGTTTCAAAATTTAATTTCTGTTACTTATCTTCTGCAGCAGAACAGGTGATAAAATAGATTTAGTATCTTTCTGAACTGGTGACAAACAAATACTTACAGATCTGTGCAAATTTCAGAAACTTTAAAATATGTATTTACTTACTTTTATAAGTATTTTGTAAATTTGTTTTATAATTATTTGCATACTTAAAATAAGTATTTTGTACGATACTTATTGTACAATACAACAATAAATAAGTGTTTTCATAATAGTAAAATACTTATTAAGCTTAATATTTTCAATCTTCCATTAATGAGAAAATATTCTTTAGATGCTTGAGGTATTATTAACAGTCATCAATGATTTGTGGCCACCAGATAGAGTTTGCAAAAAAATGAATTTTCCAGTATGTGATACAGTCAAAAGTCTTTAATCAGGACTCGTCGGGACTTCGGCGATTCCGGATTATCGATTTTTCCGGATTATAGATCATCAGTTTAAATCTCGTAAGATGGCATGCAGAAATTATAAAACTAAAAATATGAAACCGTAATTTATAAAATAATGAGCAATTATGATCTAAAGGGTATCCAAATTTACCAAAAAAGAAGCCTAATATTTATTTGTTTACTTTATTAAACATTTCTTTTAAACGCGCGGATGCATAAGCATACCTTACTCATAGCCGTAATTAGAAAATTGCAACCAGAAAACTATGTGATTTGTATTCGTGATATTTATAATGACGAGGATTTGATTTAAATCATATCAAGACGGAGTACATCGAAATTAAATACTACATTTAGTAAGGAATTATAAGCCGACTAAAATAAAAACATCTACCCTGAAGATAACGATAGTGTTGACAGATCAACTTCCAGTTCATTCGGAACGGTTAGATAAACAAAAGATATGCTTTTATTCATTTTTTGTAGCAATTCGTTTTTTGTTTGATGGACATCGAAACATACTTTCGTTTTCTAGATCCTTTGGGAGCTCCAGCATCGGAAATTCTATTTGACATAATCGAAAGTTCAAGCTTACTTTTAGAAAATTGCTCTACAGTCTGCAAAAATAATAAGCCGGATCCAATTTGAAGATTAAGGAACAACGCAATTATCAACATTAACTGAAATAGATTTAGATAATTTAGCTTATACCGTCCGTCATACATTAAACGCGCACGCGAAAACGTATTCTGCACTTGCGCGATGCATTCGGCAGTCGTAAATGTCTTGCGCACACAAAGTAAAACGCCTATGCGCATGCGTCAGTGCGGCGATGCGCAGAAAGATTTTAGCTTTGAGATCGGATTATAGATCATTCCGGATTACGGGTGTCCGAATTAACGACTTTTGACTGTAGTATTTAAATAAAATAATAAATATAATTTTCTGGTATCACGTTTTCATTTCGAATAAATTGCTTACAGATTTGTACTAAATGCAATACTTAATGTGCATATTACATATACATTAAATATCATATTTACAAGCTACTAGCTGTTGATTTATGTTGTTATTTTAAAGACACTGAAGACAAAACTTTATTAAACACTAGCAGCTTCACTGCCAGCCTTCGTCTGGCTTTTAACTGTACCGGAAAAATGGCTGAAGGGAACACCAAATGTTAAATTTAAAAACTGCGTAGAATTTTACTCTGCAGAACAACTTCATAAAAAATAGTTATTACGTATAACAAAATTACAATGAAATAAGCAATATCCCTTAATACAAATGTTAATTATCCATAAATAAATTAACCAACTTCCCTTTGCAAAATCTTAAGAACTCAAATGGTATAAAAGAGGTTAAGAACTTTGTTTCCTAAAAAAAAAAATCACTCAAAACTTTTAAATATCTTAAATCTTAAAAACAGTGCAATGAGCAATAAATAACATAAAAGAATACAAAAAACAAAATATTCTGAAAAGCAAAGTATAATTAATGATATTTTATCTTATATTTTCAAGAGAAAAAAAATTACAATGAAATAAGCTATATCCCATAATACAAATATTAATTATCCTAATAAAATAATTAACCAACTTTCCATTGAAGAAAAAATCATGCAAAACTTTTCAATATCTTACAAAGAGTGAAATAAGCAAAACATAACATGAAAGCAACTCAAAAAACAAAATTCTGCGCAGAATTAACTTCTGCAGAACTTTATCAAAAAAAAAAAAAAAAAAAAAAAAAAAATCAATAAAAATGTATTATATATATAAAAAATGACAATGAAATATGCCAATCTCTTAAAAACAGTGACATAAGAAATATGATGAAAAACTGTTGCCAAAACCATATTTCTAAAAGAATGAAACTATTCAAAATGATGCGATTTCATCAAAAATCTATCGACAATAATAAGACAGGAAAATTGTTGCCAAAATTACATTTTTAAAGATGTGAGATGTGTACTTGGAAGCTTCATTTAAATTTTTTTTTAAAAATACAAAATATTATCATTTTTCCAAAATTCTTTTTGTAAAAGCAGTCACAAGGATGAAAGTTTAACGTGTCCAAAAATCAAAGAAAAATAAACTGTACACTTTTAAAAATAAACTTTTTTAGAAAAAATCCCGTTGAAAAGATGTTAAGCTCCCTTTGTTAAATAAATTCGTATTTAATCGATTTATTGAAACACGAAATTTATTTTCTATAGCCCATTATGTCTCAAAATGACGCGATTTCGTCACAAAACATAAAATTTAAAAAAAAAAAAAATTCGAATTCGAATTTTGAACAAATCGCTTCGAGGTGCACTGGCTTTTGTCTAGATGGACCTATGTACCAAATTTTGTAGCCGTGGGTCTATTAGCTGATGCGCAGCGCGAATGAAAGACACACGCACAGATAAACTCTTTGTTTTATATGTAGAGATTACAAAAAATATCAATTTATATTAAATGCTACAATAAATACAAATTCATATTTAATTCCCTCTGTACGTCCCATTAAATAACTTGTGTTTTATAGATATCAAATGAACTGCTGATATTTATCATTTACCATTGTCTATTTCATTTTCATGGATGCTTATAACACTTGTCAACGAATCACACTTTCTTAGGCCCGAATTGTGGCAATGCTGATGCAAGATACAAAGGATAAGTACCCAGTTTCTTGTCTATGGATTCAATTCCAAACTACTGAGGATATTTGTAAAAAGTCAGACAAGGTCATTAACGAGTAACAGGAAAAGTCGATAATAGTTTCCTGTCCATATGTCCATTTCAATCACTGGCTTGACTCACTGATCCAAGCCAGTGATTGAAAAACATCATAAAAATAAATTTTAAAAAATAATAAAATGGGAGTGTTAAAATGTATCATATTTACCTTCCATCTGAATTAACAGTTCAGATTTTACTCTCCTGCTTGCCTCGTGTTCTGAATCGGAGCCTCTACGAGAACACAAAGAATCTATTTCATCTATAAATATTGTACTTGGAGCATAAAAGCGGGCCTATAAACAAGATACGACAGGAAAGATTAAGCAAATTTTTAACACAAAATGAAATTATAATGTTTAAAAAAAATTAGATGCTTTTCCGTTAATGGGATGCCAGTTGCTAAATGTGCACCAAAGGTGGTAGTCTGTTGTGAATAGCTGTGCAATTACACAGGAAGAATAAACATCAATCTAGGAATTTTATTCTCTAGATTTTCAGTTCTTTAACAGGATGAACTGATAGGAACTAGACACGAATACTAGTAAGTTGGCTAAGAATGCACCATAAACTAAACCCCGGAGTGCATATATGCCCTGAACAAGTGGTGAAATTGTCACACCCAGTGTTTAGTCCCCAAATGAACTTGCTACTTATTTTATCGACCCAAGGGATGGAAATCAAGGGATGAAAGGCTGAGTCGTCCTTGCCCAGCCTGGGGATCAAACCCCGGACTTGTGGTGTTGCTGCGCGATGCACAAGCCACTGGGCCTCTAAGAATACACCACAATAGATCCAATTAGGCTATGCAATGTGCAAACTGGCAAAATGAACATCAGTCTCCACTATCAAAAATTACTAATCAAATTCATGTGGCAAATATTGCACAAAAAACATAAACGCTTTTGGCAATGTTACATAAAAACAGCGGATTTATGCCTCCCATGTAATCTGAAACTAATTTGGTAAAATTCTGTTCGATTTTTTGTTATTTGCCTTTACTTTTTCTGTTTATTCTGGATTTAATAAAATGTATATGCTCTTTAGTTTATGAACTTTCACAGAAACGAACAAACCTGTTTTCAAAGGGTGAAATTTGTGCAGAGTGGTAAGGATTTTGAGCCTCAATCTTTTTGAAAAACAGAGACTCAAATTATGAAAAGTTTGCTAAAGTTTCCTGTGCATAATACACATAGTGCTAAACAGAAAACTTATTCGGACAAATTCAGACACTTACTTTTTAAAGAAAAACACTTCAGAAATTATTGTTGCTGATCATCTAAAATGCCAACTTCTTCCGCCTCTCGTACAGTCGCTTCATCGCAAATGCCCCTTTTACTCATTGAGACTGCAGAGAGCGAGTCAGACGTTACTCATCATTAATGAGACTGCGGAGAGCGAGTCAAACGTTTACTCACTGCCACCCGTGTCAAGATCTACTAGCTGCATCCTCACACCATCCATATATGTCTCAAAAGCAACATTCCAATTCATATACTGTATAACAAACTAATTAGTTACAATTTTTTATTTGTAAAGTAGTGTATTTAAAATGTATTATTTATGTGTTTAAGTACTTTTAATTGTTTATGTGATACAGTCAAAAGTCGTTAATTCGGACACCCATAATCCGGAATGATCTATACTCCGGACCTCAAAGCTAAAAACTTTCTGCGCATGCGCCGCGTTGGCATATGCGCACAGGCGTTTTACGCGTGCGCGTAAGACCTTGACTACTGCGCATATGCGTGTGCGCAAGTGCAGAATACGTTTTCGCCAGCTCGTTTAATGTATAACGGACGGTGTAAGCTAAAATTATCTAATTATCTATTTCAGTTAATGTTGCAGATTGCATTGTTCCTTAATCTTGGAATTGGATCAGGCTTATTATTTTTTGCAGACTGTAAGAGCAATTTTATAAAAGTAAACTTGAACTTTCGATTATGTCAAATAGAATTTCCGATGCTGGAACTTCCAAAGGATCTACAAAACGAAAGTATGTTTCGATGTCCAACAAACAAAAAGTGGAATTGCTGCAAAAAATTGATAAAGACATGAAGAATGTGACAGAGAGGTTAGTGAAAACGAAAAAATTTTGATTGACAAGTTTTCGTCGTATTCTCGGCACAGCAATTAACGGGACTTGGACAGCGGAACTTTGTAACTGAACAAGAAATTATGTCTTTTTATAGAATTAAAGAAAAAGTATTATCACATAAAATGAAGCAACTTAAACAACTTACATTGAGAGAAATGTTTAATAAAGTAAACAAATAATTATTAAGCTTTTTTTTTTTGTAAATTTTGATACCCTTTAGATCATTATTGTTCTTTATTTCATAAATTATGGTTTCATATTTTTAATTTTAGAATTTCTGCATGCCATCTTACGAGATTTAAACTGATGATCTATAATCCGGAAAAATCGATAATACGGAATCGCCAAAGTCCCGACAAGTCCGGATTAACGACTTTTGACTGTAGTATTTATAGCTTGTGAACAAGAAATATGCATAGCAAATCTAGTAACATTTTACGAACAAATTCATGGTAGGAATGGTCATTTGAAACATAACTCATCTGTATAGTGTCTGAAGTCATTTTTTTCATGAAGATTTACATATCATTGGGATGCCACCATCAACTGGGATCTGCACCAGCTTTTATGTTTGATACTACACTGGTGTGCAAAAATTAAGGACGAAGTCGAAAATTAGCATATCAGCTGAACGAAGAGGCAGAGCGGACAGAAAGACCAATCAGAAGATTAAGTAAGGTGATGTACAGTGTGACATGCTCGGATATGCAGGTAGACGTAATGGGGGAGCGTCTGAGTAGTATAAAGCATATTGTCGGTGTAAGATCAGTATTTCTGGCAAAGAGACTGCACGCCGTATAGCAGTTAAAATCACACCGAGTTGCTGCCTCAGCGAGAAATGGCGAATAATCAATCTGTTAGACGACATCTGGATGCTTTTACCTGAGGTCGAATCATTGGGAAGTTGGAGGAAGCCGCAGTGTGACAAGTGTGGCTGCAGAGTTCAGAATTGCTCACAGCATCGTTTCACGACTTTGGAGACAATTTCAAACTACAGGAACAGCTATCCGGGGTTTAGTAGTGGTCGTCTCTGAGCAACCACACCCGCAGATGACCGGTATATTGCCTTACAGGCCAGAAGAAACAGGCGGCAGACAGCGGGAGAAATCGCTAGACACACGAAACAGGCGACTGCACGGTGGTGGTCTGTTTGCACGACGCCCTGTACGGTGTGTACCTCTAACGCCTGACCATCGGAGAAGGCATTCTCTGTGGTGCCGGGAACACCGGAATTGGAGAGACAATGAATGGGGACGAGTACTCTTTACAGATGAGAGCAGATTCAGTCTGAGTAGCGATTCTCATCGCATACTCATCTGGAGAGAGCGGGGAAGCCGCAATCATCCCTCGAACATCATTGAAAGGGACAGGTATGGAGGTGGCGGTGTTCTTGTTTTGGGGAGGCATCATGCTTGGTAGTCGTACAGACCTTCACATCTTCGACGCAGGTTCAGTCAACGGGACCCGTTATTGTAACGAGATTCTTGTTCCATATGTGCATCTTTTTTAGAGGCACTATGGGTCCGCAGTTCCTTTTCATGGACGACAATGCACCGTGTCATTGCACAGTAGCTGCGGAACAGCTCTTAGAGAGTGAGGATATTGAACGTATGGAATGGCCGGCACTATCTCCGGATCTCAATCCCATCGAGCATGTATTGGATTTTCTAGGCAGACGCTTGGTAGCTCGTACCTTACCACCAGTAACGATTCCGGAGCTTCGATTGGCGCTGCAAGAGGAATGGGCAGCATTGCCTCAACAACTCATTTACACCCTCATTCTCAGCATGGGCAGACGCTGTGAAACCTGCCTAGCAGTCAGGGGAGATCATATCCCCTATTAAAGACCGGATGTTTCTTGCTGGACACCCATCACAGGAATGTTTCGGCCTTCAGTCGCATTGCGCTCCATGCTACTTTTTCAATAAAGCTTCTTTTTATCCCTCTGATTTCTCTTTTAGTAGGTGTTGCTTACATTACTCATGTCCTTACGTATTGGGGGATCTTACGGTATAAATGTGTTGATTTGGAAAGCTTTCGTACAAAGTTATATTGAAAAAACCATCTCGTCCTTAATTTTTGCACACCAGTGTAAGTTTTGCCCCATTAACAGAAAAGTACCAAGAATTATTCAAATATACTGCACATCCTGCAATAAACTATTCTGATAAATTAAAGATACTAATTCAGAAGTCAAACAACAAAAATCAGCGTTAATTTACAAAATTTTCACAGGACTAGTTTCGATGGTTTTACCGAACCATCATCTTCAGCTGCAAAACCGTAAATGAACAATGATAGGAAATAATGTTTCGATAAGATAAGAAAGCCTGGACAAGAATAAGCAAGTGGCGCCATCTGTTGGCGAAACCAGAACTAAAACATAATTTCTCTAAATGCCGAAGGCAAATTTGGATTGGAATTAGGATCGTTAACTAGAACAGAAAGATTTTTATGAATGTGAAATGCCTCTAGAAAATCCAGTTCTCCAATGGAAGATGTTTTTTGAATAATTTTGGCAGCAGAAAAATTGAAAGTGTGATTTTCGGACCAACAATGTTCAGCAACAGAAGACTTCTGTGTTTCCTTTTTTTTCTAACATATGCCTCATGTTCTTTGACGCGAAATTTCAAGGCTCTCTTAGTTTGGCCAATGTAAATTAAACCGCACTGGCAAGGAATCCTATAAATACCCCAGGAATTCATATCCGGAATGGGGTCTTTGAGTATAGAAGTTGGAATTTTATTGATGGGAGAGTAAACAACCCGAAAGTTAAATTTCTGCAAAATATGTGCAACTTTATAGCTAATTGATGGAAAGAAGGGAATGACAACAGAATTTTTTTATAATCTCCTAAAATAAGAGTGTGGCTTTTACTGTGTTGAGATGAGAATTTTTTAACTGCTTGATTAATAATGTTGGGTGAAAAGCCCCTGTCAATAGCTATTGCTTTTAAATAATTTAGTTCTTCATCAAGGGCTAGTTTGGAGGAGCAAACTTGAAGAGCACGGAAAACATAGGAATAAAATGAAGCTAACTTTTGTTTAGTCGGATGACATGATTTAAAGTGTGGTGGAAGGCAAAACCGATGAAGGTTTACGGTAAAAACTGTAGTACTGAAGTTGGATGTGTTACGTGTGACCAGAATGTCGAGAAACGGAGGAGAGAATTGCAAGTCTCAAGTTCAAAAGTGAACTGAATAGCAGGATCAATAGAATTCATTGTTGAAATAACTCTATTTAAATCATCTTTAATACCTTCAAACAGGGTAAAAGTATCGTCTACGTAGCGGAACCATGCCGGGAAGTTTAAAGTTTCAAACAATTTTGATTCATAATAATGCATGTAGATATCAGCCAGGATGGGACTGAGGGGGCTTCCCATGGCTAATCCCTCAGTTTGCTTGTAATATTTATTTTGGAAAACAAAATGTGTTTGTTTCAAACAGAGTTGAGTGAGAGAAATTAGCTCATCAATTTCGATGCAAGAAAAATGAAATTCGCGAAGTCTGGTTTCTAGACATCTTAATGCACCCTCCACTGGGACATTGGTGAATAATGATTTTACATCAAAAGAAACCATGATTAAATTACGAGGAGAAATGTTTTTAACCTTTTTTTACAAACTCTATTGAATTTTTTATGGTGTAAATGTTATTGTCTAATAGAGTGGAAAATCTAGAAACTAAATATTTAGCTAATGGATACGAGGCAGTACCTAAATTTGATACAATAGGGAGGAAAGGAATACCACTTTTATGAACCTTCACCTTCGGACTTATCCAAAATAAAAACTGCGATCAAATCTTCGCAAATCATTTCAAGCAACTTAAAACATTCGCTTATCCCATCTGTTGCGAATTGTGCCAGATTATATGCTCTTCCCAAAATTCATAAAAGTGGTATTCCTTTCCGCCCTATTGTATCAAATTTAGGTACTGCCTCGTATCCATTAGCTAAATATTTAGTTTCTAGATTTTCCACTCTATTAGACAATAACATTTACACCATAAAAAATTCAATAGAGTTTGTAAAAAAGGTTAAAAACATTTCTCCTCGTAATTTACTCATGGTTTCCTTTTGATGTAAAATCATTATTCACCAATGTCCCAGTGGAGGGTGCATTAGATGTCTAGAAACCAGACTTCGCGAATTTCATTTCTCTTGCATCGAAATTGATGAGCTAATTTCTCTCACTCAACTCTGTTTGAAACAAACACATTTTGTTTTCCAAAATAAATATTACAAGCAAACTGAGGGATTAGCCATGGAAGCCCCTCAGTCCCATCCTGGCTGATATCTACAATGCATTATTATGAATCAAAATTGTTTGAAACTTTAAACTTCCCGGCATGGTTCCGCTACGTAGACGATACTTTTACCCTGTTTGAAGGTAATAAAGATGATTTAAATAGAGTTCTTTCAACAATGAATTCTATTGATCCTGCTATTCAGTTCACTTTTGAACTTGAGACTTGCAATTCTCTTCCGTTTCTCGACATTCTGGTCACACGTAACACATCCAACTTCAGTACTACAGTTTACCGTAAACCTTCATCGGTTTTGCCTTCCACCACACTTTAAATCATGTCATCCGACTAAACAAAAGTTAGCTTCATTTTATTCCTATGTTTTCCGTGCTCTTCAAGTTTGCTCCTCCAAACTAGCCCTGATGAAGAACTAAATTATTTAAAAGCAATAGCTATTGACAGGGGCTTTTCACCCAACATTATTAATCAAGCAGTTAAAAAATTCTCATCTCAACACACTAAAAGCCACACTCTTATTTTAGGAGATTATAAAAAAATTCTGTTGTCATTCCCTTCTTTCCATCAATTAGCTATAAAGTTGCACATATTTTGCAGAAATTTAACTTTCGGGTTGTTTACTCTCCCATCAATAAAATTCCAACTTCTATACTCAAAGACCCCATTCCGGATATGAATTCCTGGGGTATTTATAGGATTCCTTGCCAGTGCGGTTTAATTTACATTGGCCAAACTAAGAGAGCCTTGAAATTTCGCGTCAAAGAACATGAGGCATATGTTAGAAAAAAAAGGAAACACAGAAGTCTTCTGTTGCTGAACATTGTTGGTCCGAAAATCACACTTTCAATTTTTCTGCTGCCAAAATTATTCAAAAAACATCTTCCATTGGAGAACTGGATTTTCTAGAGGCATTTCACATTCATTAAAAACTTTCTGTTCTAGTTAACGATCCTAATTCCAATCCAAATTTGCCTTCGGCTTTTAGAGAAATTATGTTTTAGTTCTGGTTTCGCCAACAGATGGCGCCACTTGCTTATTCTTGTCCAGGCTTTCTTATCTTATCTAAACATTATTTCCTATCTTGTTCATTTGCGGTTTTGCAGCTGAAGATGATGGTTCGGTAAAACCATCGAAACTAGTCCTGTGAAAATTTTGTAAATTAACGCTGATTTTTGTTGTTTGACTTCTGAATTAGTATTTATTCAGCGTGTTATTGTGTCTTAATTAAATTAAAGATAATTTAAAAGTTAAACACCTCTTCTTTTGTTATTTGTTTTCAAGAGTTTGAATTCATTGTTAAATGATATTTACAAGTCAAATTTAAAATTGCCTAATTAAAATTGAAAATCATATTTATACAGTAGAAGTATACAGGCATTATAAAGCAATCTAAAAATAACAGAAATTAATATTGAAAATTAAAGATGAAGCATAAAAAATTAGCAAAACTAAATGAATAATATTCAGCTATACCTAACTTTATGTGCATACTGAATTTATGAAAGTATTAATTTATTTTTCCAAAAATAAAATTAAATTAAAAAAAAAAAATCAGTCCTACATTTCCTGTCTATGGTAAAACATTCATCTAGTAGTGGACCACTGGCACAACAATGCCATCTTGGAGATAAAATCTGAATAAGAACAAATTACTTCACAAGGTATTCATGTATTTAAACATAAATTTCAGCTTGCTTCTAAATTTCAGTCTTAGCACTAAATGGATAAAATCCAATCGTATTGTTTGCAAGCATATTATTCTCAGAAAAAAAGTAACTAGGAAATTAATTTTTTGTGTGTGGGGGGGGTAGGCTTGCAAATTCAAAATTTAATTAATTTATAAAAATTGGAAATGGCATGTTTGCTTTAAACAAAAAAACTACTGGCAGATAAAAATTCTAAATATCATTGGCATCATGCCAAAACTAAGAACATCTGCATACCTTAATGTTCTTTGCATTCATCTATATATATTTTCTATGTTTTCCCTGTTTCATGCTATGCTAAAACACAGAAATGCAGACTGAGATGAATGCAAGAGACTTACCACATTAAAAACTTTATTTGATTTTCTTCTTACATACAGAGCTGGATTTAGATTTTATAAGCTATTTGAGATATCCCTAAGCTATTTGAGATTATGGGGCCCTTTATATGTCTGTTATACTATATTTCATTTGGGAGGGAGAAAGAAAGTACGGGTCTTAAGCTATAGCTTGTGTAGATTATATGTAAATCCTGCACTGCTTACATATATAAATTTTTTCCACTTTCTAATTATTTTTCTTAAAACAATGATTTGCAGAATGGCATTTGCATAGTGTATATGTATATAACATAATTTAATATGTGTAATTGCATATAAAGGATAATTTACACTGAAGCACCATAATTAACCATAATTTAACAAAAGATTTTATTGTAAACCTCCAAAAGAAACAAAAAAAAAAAAAAGTCTTAACCATGATGTTTAAAGGAACTTTATTATTCTATTAAATTTTTCAATATCTAATCCTTATACTTAAAATATGTAAAGTGTTTCGTGTTCTAAAACTAAGGGTATACCATTTATTAATTTTGTCAAATAAAGTTTTATTTGCAATTTTCACCCCTTTTAGAGGGGTTTTAAATTTTTTTTAAAAAATTTATTACGTATCTTTATATATATTGTATAAATACACTGGTCACCCAAATTAAAGGATAATGAGAAAAAATATGCTCTCCAAGTTAATGTTGCAACCAATACCCAATGCTATAATTAAATTCAAATGAACACAAACTTGTACTTCCACCCTTATGTTAGCATCAGAAATATGCATATTCGTTGATTAACCAATGTGGTGCGCAATGGGTGCATGTTAGAATTCTGGTCTGTAGTATTGTTTAGAGTGAGTGTGGTTTCTGAGAATAATCAGTATTCAATTGTTATCGGTCAAATGCATCATTTAAGTGAAGTCTTAAAGTGGCGAATAATTGGTAGAATCAAGAGAGTTCAAACACAAATGGAAGTCACCCAAGATTTGAATATCTCTCAAAGCGTCATATCAATTGTTTGGCCACTTTTTAATCACTGCATCAGTTGGCAGGCAACCTGGTCAAGGGCAAACGAGCAACAACTGCATCAGAAGACCAACTGTCATTGCCAGCTCGAAAAAAAAACACAAAGTGACTGCAACAGATTTGGTTTTAGACCTTCAGGCTGCCATAGGAACTCAAATTAGCCATTATGCTGCAAAGGCTTAATGAGGTTGGACTGTATGCAAAAAAGGCAAGTTTGTGTCCCACTCACTCCAGCTTTCAGAGGGGCCCATTTAAACTGGAGCTGTCATCATGTTCAATGGAGGCAAGAAGAATGGGCCCAAATATTGTTCACTGAAGAGTCCAAATATAGTCTGAACAGTGATTCTAGACATGTTGTGATCTGGAGAGAGTCAGGAAGATACAACTCGCCTTCCCTTGTCCATGAAAAATCTCGGTTCTATGGTTTGGGAAGGAATCATGACAAATGACCACACCAAGCTGCATATTTTTCAAGAAGATTCTGTAACTGCTCAAAAATATGTAAACAAGGTATTGGAACCCCAAGTTAGACTGTTTAGGGGCGCTGTTAGCCTAGAGTTTTTGCTAATAGATGGCAATGCTCGGGGTCATATGCAGAGCCAGAACACTTGCAAACAGAAAATATCACTTGAATAGAATGGCCACTTTACTCACCCAACTTGATCCTGCCTGAGCATGTATGTCTCAGTTACGTTTCATTTCTGTCATTATCCTTCGATTTGGAGAACCAATGTATGTGTGTGTATATATGTATATATACATAGCTATATAAAACAGAACTGCCTACCATTTCAAACAGCAGACGGACAAGCTTTTCCGATTCACCTCTATACTTGGAGGTCAGAGTTGAGGACGACACATTGAAAAAAGTAGTTTTACATTCAGTAGCAACTGCCTTGGCCAACATAGTTTTACCAGTCCCTGGAGGACCAACCATTAGGACTCCCTACAATAAAAATTTGAAATATATTAATCTAATTTCAAACTGATCATCCAGTAATGTTCAGTTTAAAAAAAACCTCAAAAGGTACAGATTTTAACATCGCATCAGACGATTTGTTATGGTTTGTCATGCTTTCATTGAACTTAATGTCTACCTATCTGCACATGGATTCATGTTTGTTGACACAGCTTTTTTTGTCTTTTTAACTTTATTATTAAACATCGCTTTCTTTGTACTTATGCCACATAAAATTCATTAGGCAAATTACAAAATTTCTTAAAACAGCATATCTTCAGAATTCATATTACAATATTAAGTGTTGCCATTCATTTTTTTAGTCCAGAATGACTATTATTCTCTAACCTCACTTTTGCACTGAATAATTTGTGTTGTCTGTTTCCCTTTTAATATAACTACTGACCTTGACAACCACCAATATTTGTCACTATAAAAGAGAGGAAATATACACAGTACAAAGTCAGTAAGCTACAAACCTTTTTCATATGCTTTAAGCATGTGCGTTTAATGTATAATGCACGGTATAAGCTAAAATTGTCTTTACTGATTCTAAGGCATTTCAGTTAATGTTGCAAATTGCGCTGTTCCTTAATCTTTTAATTGGATCCAGCTTATTACTTTTGCAGACTGTTAAAGCAATTTTATAAAAATTAAGCTTGAACTTTTGATTACATAAAAAAGAGTTTCCAATTCTGGAGCTGCCAAAGGATCTACAAAGCAAAAGCATGTTTCAATGTCCATCAAACAAAAAGTGGAATTGCTGTCCATAAAAAGGCATATCCGTCTCAAAATTAGGAGTATGACATTGAAAAGTCTACTACATATGACATAAGCAAAAAAGAAAGGGAACTTTTTGAATTTTTTGTGGATTTCGACACCATACTTGCAATGAACAACAGAAAAAGGGTTCGTTATGCTAAAAGTGACGATCATGGCAAAGTGATGATTGAATGGGTCAGACAGCATCGCAGCAAGGGCGTGCCTTTGACGGGTTCCAAAGCTAATGGCTCAAGCCTAAAATATTTCACGAAGAAATGAACTTAAACACTTAGTGCACATATTTGACATGTTGGTTAGCCAAATTTAAAAATCGCCATGGTATAAGGCAATTAAAAATTTCAGGTGAAAAAGCTTCAGTTGATACTGAAGCTGCTGAACAATTAGCAGATGAATTCATTGAACTCATTACTAGTGAACAATTATCTCCAGAACAAATTTACAACGCTGATGAAACCGGTCTTTTCTGGCAATATGTACCGCGAAATACCTTGGCAACCTCTACAGAAAAGGCTCCAACTGGTGTCAAAGATCCCAAAGTGAGACTAACAATTTTAGCATGCGCAAATGCTGCAGGAATGCACAAGTGCAAACTTTTCGTAATCAGAAAACATGCACGACCTCGAGCTTTATAGGAGTAACTATTTTCCCCATTATATATTGCATAAATAAAAGAGCATAGATGACATAAGCGTTAATGAATGATTGGTTTGAAAATCATTTTATACCCGAGGCTCGGCGATATTTGGATTTGGTTGGTTTACCTGATGACTCAAAAATAGTCCTGATTGTTGACAACTGTTCGGCGCATACTTCACTTAAAACTTTAGTGAAAGATAAAGTATCTGTATTATTCTTCCCTCCAAATTGTATGTCTATCATTCAGCCTATGGATATGGAAATAGCACATGTGCTGAAATGCAAATATAAAGTAGCCTTTTTTAAATCTATGTTAAATTTCTTGAACAATGACAAGACTATTCAAGACTTTTGAAATTTTTTAGCATAAAATCTGCTGTGTGGAGCATTGCAAGATCGTGGGAGGATATGTCTCCAGATACGTTAAAAAATGCTTGGCCATGGTGAGGACAATGAAGATGATAGCTGCGAATTTGAAGGTTTACGGACATCGCAAGCTAAAGGTGAAATTTTAAAGTTATTGGATTTTGTAAAGAAATGTGGAGAAGCAGTAATAAATGAAGATGATATAATAGAAGTTTTTCATTGCGACGAGAATGCCCCAATAATCAATCAATTAACGGACAGCAAAACCTGTAGTATGATTCTAGATCCAGAAAATACCACTTCCATAGTGAAGAAAATAACAGAGAACGTTAAATGAAAACGGAAAAATTTCGATTGACGAAGTTAGTCGGTATTCTCAACACAGCAATTACAGAACTTGAACAGCGCAACTTTCTAGCTGAACAAGAAATTATGTCTGTTTACAGAATTAAAGAGAAAGTATTAGCACAAAAAATGAAGCAACTTACATTGAAAGAAATGTTTAATAAAGTAAACAAATAAATATTAAGCTTTTTTTTTTGTAAATTTTGATAACCTTTAGATCATAATTGCTCTTTATTTCCTAAATTACTGTTTCATATTTTTAATTCTTTAATTTCTGTCTGCCATCTTACCAGATTTAAATCGATGATCTATAATCCGGAAAAAACCCTAGTCCGGAATCGCCAAAGTCCCGACGAGTCCGGATTACGGACTTTGTATATATATATATATATTGGGTTTTATTAAAAGTTTTCTGCCACTGCGATTATTGTCTGCACAAACAATTCACGTTGCTGTGTTTAAACAATTTTTGACATTTGATAGAAAGAGACTTGCTTTAGAATACTGCGTGAAATTTGTAAAAAAATATCATTATCATTAAGTACAAGGTGTCTGAAATGATCATGTTACCAATGTGAAACAATCATGTTACCAAATTAGAACCATCATTTACTGCCAGTTCTGTTGCAAAAACTCAGTTACAGAACGAAAGCGTTAACACGGAATGTCACCAAATCATGTATACAGCTTTAGGTACTAATGTTGTTTTACCTAATCATATCACACTGTGAAGGTTTGGTACCGAAAGTTCAAAAACAAGGATTATGACTTTCAAGAAGCAGAGGGCTCTAGCCGGTCTACTGATGTTGATGAAGCCATCTGCGAAAGCTTGTGGAAAAAGATCAGTATGCAACCACTCAAGAGCTTGCTAAGGAGTTACACATTAGTGCCATGTCCATTAGTTGCACTATGCATCATATAAACTTAACGTACAAGTTCAATCACTGGGTGTTGCATCAGCTGATTCAAACAGATATGGACAGATGTGTTCAGACCTGTACTAATCTGCTTAAATATCAACTCAAGGACAAAATTCTGGACCAGATCATCACTTACGATGAAAAGTGAATTTACTTCAACAACACAGGCCGAAAAGGGGGTTGGTTTGCTACCAATGAGCCGTTGGCAGGATCTACAAAGCACAATTTGACTAACAAAAAGATATGCTTTGTATCTGATGGGATTGAATAATCCACAAAGAGTACCTGGAAAAAGGTAAAACCCTCGACAGGCAAGTGTACAGTGAGATGTTAGTCTGTGTTGATGGTGCTATCAAGAAAAACATCGAACTGAGTTCTGGCACAAAAAGGTAATATTCCATCAAGATAATGCAAAACCATATGTGTTTCCATTCACCGGCTGGACTCTATATGGACTCAAATGGAATCTTTTGCCACACCCACTATATAGCCCTGGCACCGCTCCTTTGCACTTCTACCTTTTTCCACACCTCCAGCTACATCTTGCTAGTGCTATCTTCCATTCTGCACAGGATGTCTGAAATGAGGTTGGTCTGTTTTGGAGTCGTGACCACCAAGTTTCTAGGCCAAAGGCTTTGAAAAACTACCAAAAGGTTAGCAGAAAATTATAGATTTGGGTGGTGATTACTACCCACACTAAAGGCGATGCTTTTTTTTTTTTTTTTTTTTTAAATTAAGAATGCGTTTTTGGCAGAAAACTTGTTATAATGAGATATAATGCTTTAAATAAATCAAACTAGTGTCATTTCACTGGTAAGCACTACACAAGTCAGTATAAATATTTTCTGGTTAAAATTAAGTTTAAATAATAATTTTAATTAAAGTTTAGATATAAAATATGGAGCATAATGCACAGCATTTAATTCAGCAGTGAGTACTGAGCAGGCCTCATTCAACTGCCTACTTTCCTTATGGTCAGAAATAACAAATGATACTCCCACAAGACTAGCTGTCTTTGATCCATCAGTGAAAATGGGATTTTAATTGCTGTATTTATATCTATGCTCTTGGAAAAGTTGTTTATATATATGACCTTGCTATATTTCTTTAGTCAAAGTTTTCGAAAACATCCAGCACCTGAACTTGAGCATTTTCAAAAGGCGGAATTTCAAAACAGTTTACAGGTTGGACATTTTCCTTGGGCATGCAGCATTTTTCTATAAGCACCTGAACTCTTATATGGAGTGGAAGTACACAAGAAGCCTATGCAGAAAACAAGTTATAACAATCAACTAGAACATAAGGTTGACAAGGGTGTTTACAGTGTGCAGGATGTTGCAGTAAGATAGAGGGACAACTATTTGCATCTCAACTGAAGGGAAGATTCAAAACAGTACAACAAACAGTAGACATAAGAACTCTGGAAAGGAGATGTTCTAAAGCCTCCAAAACAAATCCATAGATCCTGATAATGAATCAAATCTAGTTTCAATAAAACCTAAGACTGTACTGATCTGTAGACTTCTGAGCCATAATCCGATCTAGAGCAGAACAGCACTTTGTAGACATTAAGGAGTTGTTTCTGCCTCTTAAGAGGTGTTTGCTGGAACTTTTAGAAGATTAAGCACTTTGAAACATTGCTTCCTCAAGTACATCCCATGTGGAAGGAATGTTAATTTTGGGTCAAACATCACTCCTAGAAATGTCACTTCCTGTACAACTGGAATCAGTGATCCTCCAAGATGAAGCTCATTCTCAGGATGTATATTTCGCTTCCTGCAAAAGTACATGCAAGCAGTTTTCTGTTTAGAGAAAATAAATCCATATCTTTCCAACCATTTCTGTAACATTTTCAGAGTGATCTGCAACTGTCTCCTAACATACCTCATGTCTACTACACATTGACAGCTTATCTGAATGTCAGCTACATAGTGATCC